GGGGGGGGGACTTAACCTACAATTTTCTAACTATACAATAGACCGTAAGGCCGTTTAAAGATAATTTGGCAAACTTTCTTATATACATTACGTATAGTGACGTTGAAAAAGTTAGAATAGTTTTAATTTTAAACACTATTAATTGTTCAAGTTATATTTTTATTTATGTCTTTAATTATGATGCTGTCAAAGTATTCATAATTTTAWTTGAAGTGAATAACTTGCCAATATTACTACTACATAATATTACTATCATCTTATATGGTTGTTAGGGCAAAGATATAAAGTAACATTTGAAAATCGTTTTTTTATTGTWATAACCTTACTACGGCATACATTGATGCTACCAGTTGATTTTGTAGATAGGTTGTGGGATAGACCATAGAAAAAAATTATAAAAATCAGTAACAACAAATTAGTTTTAATTATGATAATGTGATTTTAAGGGAGGGAAAAGCAATTATGAATTCACTTACGATTTTTGGCAATCTCCTTTAGTCCCATTTTTGCGTGACGTTGTAATAACAATAACAGATATCAAAACTGATTTGAATTTGTAAAAAACGCTGATTATGGTAAAATTGAGATCGTTCAGGATTTAACAGTGTTGTAGTGTTGTGGCTCCAAATGACGATGGTCCAATGATGAACGGAGCCAGATGGTCCGGGGACATAGGGTGCCTTGAGTGTTTGGACAGACAAAAAATCGATTCATTCAGTGCTGCCAGCGAATGGCGTTTGAAAATTTTGAACTTACAACGTCGTCGTCACTATTATCACAACTTTTATTTTGTTTCGTTATAATGGCCGTGGCGAGAATCAGGAATTAAACTATCAATTAAACGCAATGAATTAAAAATATGACTTTCGAACTAATTAGGCTTAAAATAATAGGTGACCTACAAGCCCTATTATTTGTAAAATTTCGRACTTCACATTTAACTTTACTGCTTTAAACGAACACTTTATGCACTTCTATCTTATCAATGTATTACATATACAAATGTGCCGGATTTACCTCTTCAGCCGCCGTAAGCTATTAGGAAAATGCCGCATTAAAATMATACAATAATTTTTTTAAAACCAATATGAGCTTCATATAAGTTTTTATTTTAGTGCACAATTAAAAACTTATAAAATCAAGTACTTGAGAAACTGGATATTTAATTTTAAAATATAAATACAAAAATA